AAACTGGCTCGGTGGTCCTGGACTAGTGCAGGCGACGCAGGATTCTGATTCTTGGGCCCTGGATAAAAGCAACCGTGCAGCACCCCGCTACTTCTGCAGGGTTCTGAGATGTGGACACTTCCCCAGCAAGGCCCCAGCAAAAATGCACAGCCCTGCCATTCCCCAGTCAGGGTAGCGACAGGATCACAATAGCTATTGCTTTGACTTGCTTTTGGAAAGCATAAGACCTACTAAACCCAAGCTGGCAGGGCACGGAGAGGAGTTTCGCTGAGCAGCTGTAGCTGTAGGGTGAGACTCCAGTGGTGCATGGAGAGGTAGCTCCTCCCGCATGCAGCTCTGGTTTCAGGGGAGGATGTGTCTCGAGCACGCGCAATGGACACGCACGATCTTGGGTCCCCGTGAAGGACAGGTGGAATCACAGTCAGCTTCGGGAGCTGAGTGTTTCATCTGCGTGGTTTGTTAACTAAGTGGCAGTGCAGGGAGCTCTGATGGAAAACCTTTCCCTCCTTGCGGATTCTGTTGGTGGGGGCATTTGGCTCGTGAAGATGATTCGGAAGAGGCTGACACGGACATTGCGTGTTCCCAGTTCTTTTTCAAGGATGTGAAGTACATGCAGCTGCAGGTGGAGAAGTTGACCATACGCAACGGACAGGTGCCCTGTCAGTTCGAATTCATCAGCAAACCGGACGAAGACACCTACTGCAAGGAGTGGCTGATCGCAAACCCCTGCAAGGGGTTCCTGCTACCGGGTGAGGCATCTTTCAGAAAGTTTTGCTTCCATGTGCTCACCCCCTTTGAATCCACGGGTAACATGCTGTTCCTGGCTTGTTCTCCTTGCTGTCTGGGACACGTCTCGGCCCCTACGCATGTCTGCTGTCTGGAAGGACTCGTTAGTTTAATGACTGTATTTACCATGCCTGTGTTTCACTTCCCTGCAGATTCTGAGATTATGGTTGAATTGGAGATGTTTGTTAATAAATCAACAGCTACGAACTTAAACTCTGGGGAGGATAAGCTCGAAGACATCCTGGTTTTGCATCTCGACAGAGGGAAGGATTATTTCCTGTCGGTGACTGGAAACTATTTGCCCAGCTGCTTTGGGTCTCCCATCCACACGCTGTGCTACATGAGGGAGCCGATACAGGACATGTCGGCAGAGTCCATCCGAGATCTGGTGGGTTAGTGACAGGGCTCACCTGAGGTCTGTTACTTAAGTGTCCCGGCATCAACTTGTCATATAGCATTAATGAGCATTTGTCTGGTTTTCTTTTCCCTTATCCTGGGATTTATCTACACCGATTACATTCAAGTCCCCTGGTCCCATACACCCAGGGACTGCACCTGACTGACATGCCTTTGGTGCTGTAAGGCAGCACCTTCATGGCTCCCCTCAGCTCTTCATCTTGCTCTGGTTCCCCACACAGGAGGGTTTGTGCAGGCACGGGCTGCTGTTGCTGTGCTTCCTGGGTACTGTCGTCTGTGTGGGCTTGGGTGTATTTGCCTGTCCTGTCAGGTGGAAGTCGCCCTTCCCAAGTGCGTGGCAAGTGAGCCCATGCCTGGACCAGGCGGCCTTGTTCTTAACTCTGAACTATAACTCTGACCTGCATGTCCCGTGGGGCACTTGCCTGCCTTGAATTAGCTGGTTTGCTTCTTTCCAGACCCTGATGCCCCTGCGCATGAGCGGTGAAGCTTTCCAGAGCGAGAAGCCTTTGGACATCCCCAAAGAGCTGTGGATGATGGTGGATCATCTGTACCGCAATGCCTCGCAGCAGGTGGGCAGCCTCTGTGCCAGAGATGTGCCCTCATTGCCAATGGGCACCTAGCTAAGCTTTGGGAAAACAGACTGGGAATGAACTGCCTTGGCTGGAGCCAGCAGTGTGAGCCCCAAGTGGGACGGGCTCGGGAGGTAGTGCTACCTCATGGATGTAGCAAGGAAAAGGGTGACAGGCGGTACCATATCTGCTCCCTCACCCTGGCTGCGATGGGGTTCTGTACAAACCACCATGACATGCCGAAAGCACCTGTTTCCTGTGTCTGAGCTTTGTGTGGCAACACCGTAGCCTGGGCTCGACCTACGACACACCCGGGCAGTGCCTGCCTTGCACTCGTCTGGTGGGGGGAGCTGTGCTGTGGTCTGTGGGTACCTCCTGGGGAGCCCAAGGTAGCCGGGAAGGGATTGCTTCCCTCCTCAGGGCTCCCTGTAACACTGCGGTGCCCTTGCAGGAGGACCTGTTCCAGCAGCCTGGCCTGCGTTCCGAATTCGAGCACATCCGCGACTGCTTGGACAAAGGCATGCACGACACCCTCCGTATCCTTTGGGGAAACGTTTGGTGCAGCTGGTTTTGTATCTGGGGCAGGGAGCAGCTTTCTGCTCGGAGCCTGTAGGGCCCTGTGGGCTCCCTTGTTAACGTAGCCCCCCTCATCTCTGGCCACTGAGGTGTGTATCCCTTCAGTAACAACTGGAACATGTGGCCCTGTTTCTGCCTGGGCGGTGCTCTCTGGACCAGTGACGGTACTTGGTCTAGGAATGCCAGGCTGCTGATGGGTTCAGTGTGCTCGGCAGAGCCACGCCACTGAATACAGACCAAAGGTGAGACCTTGGCAGTGATGAAAGCTTCAGCGAGGATGTTAACAGACCGGATCCAACCCCATGACCTTTTCCTTTAACCATCCTTGGCTCAGTTGGCAGCAACCATTCTGTAGCCGAAGCTTTGCTGCTCTTCCTGGAAAGCCTGCCAGAGCCTGTCATCTGCTACGAGTTCTACACCCTCTGTTTGGAGAGCGCCAGCAATTATGTGCTGGGCAGACAGGTAATGCAGGGGCTGCCAGGGGAGGGGGGCATTACTCTTCTACAGCTTTAGCCGGAGTTTGATTATCCTGTGCTGGACGGGTAGCGGCGCCAAAGAATTCACCGTCTCGTGGCACAGGGAGTCTCTTAGCACTGAGGCTTTTCTAGTTGTGTGGACTCTTAGGGCTGGCATCTAGAGTGTTATTTCTGGTGCGTGTTTTCACAGCAAGGCACTCTCTCTCTTTCTAGATTGTCTCCAGGATGCCCGAGTGCCATAAGAACGTGTTCAAATATCTGATGGCATTTCTGCGAGAACTACTGAAAAATTCAGGGAAAAACCGCTTGGACGCAAATATTCTTGGTGAGGCAAAGAAAGTGTCCAGTTGGCTCCTGGGGTGGCTGTGCACTGTGCAGCGTGAATTATAACCAGCTGAATGTTTCTCTTAGTGGCTTCTGTTGTGTTTGGCACTCATTTTGCAGTTATCTGGAATAGAAACTGTAGCCAGAGCAGCAGAAAGCAGTGTGTTTTCTTTCCAGAAAGCAGAAACCCAGCAGTAGGAAGAGTGTTCAGTGTTTCCCAGCAAGGGAAATGTTCCCATGGCCAACTCTGCCCTTCTCAATCCCCCTCCCTTTCTGCAATCAGGACCCCTGTACCATGCATGCCACAGCTTTGTTTTAGGGGTAACGCCTGATCCCCGGTGACTGACGGGCTCTTTTGGTTTTGTTTTTATGCAGCTAGTATATTTGGTGGCTTGTTGCTTCACCCTCCTCCCGGCCAGCCCAAGCCTGACATCACTGAGAAGAGGAAGGCCCAGCAATTCATCCATCAGTTCCTCTTGAGAGAAGACAACTCCCCATAGACTCCAGTTGCAGCTAATCTGTTTTTAGATGAAGATGTTGAGTTACTGTAAAATATTTTTGTACAGAGTATCAGCTTTTTTCAGGATTTTACAGTATTTTATATAGAGCACAATCTATTATTAAATACAGATCAGACATTTAGAACCAGTTGTCACTATTAACAAACTATAAAAAACACTGAATTTCTAAATAAGCTTGACAGAAACCAGCAAAGACATGCAGGAACTGACATTTTATACCGTATTTTAATTATTTAACTTGTATTAAACCGTGGAGTTTTGAAGTTCCTTTTTATTTATAAAGCGATAGCCATCTTAGTGCACTTTCTCGGCCTGCCCTTCACCCCGTGTCCCTGATGACAGGCTTGAGCTTCCGGGTCTGTTCATTTGGATTAAATCTCATTTGTTCAACGGCACAGAGCCAAGCAAGACAAGAGCCACAGAGCATTGCCAGGTGTGTCTCAACCTCTGCACAAGCACATTGGGGGCTGCAGAGAGCCTCATTTAGGGCCTTGGTGATGATGCAGAAAATCGAAAGAGAAGACATTAGCAATTCTGTCTCTGCTTGCAGGGACTGTGAACATGCTGTATTGCAGGCCTAAGTGGATTAGCTCCTTGCCTGAAGATGTTCATGATGCTGCCAGGGCAGTGACAGTTGGCAAGCACTGTGACCTGAGATGGCACTGCAGGGACTCTGAGCATACCGTCCCAGTGACACCTTGGAGGTGAACTTGCAGTATCGACTAGAACTGTTAAGCTTTGCACAGTCCGGTTTAAACGTCGGCGAGCTAGGCAGCAGATTCCAGTGTACTGTACCTAGCCAGGACTTTCTGTTGTGTAATTCTATTTTGATGCTATAAATCTATTTTAACAGTGGTTGCAGTGAGTGCTTGTCACACTTCCTCCTCTGTGGGTGTAGCTTCTTCCAGTGGTCTGTGTAACATGGGTGTCCAGTTCTGCTGTGGTTTGGAGTTAATGTTTTCTCTGCCTTATGACCTTCCCCTTCTAGATGCTATTTCCCCTGAGCATACATTAGTTTGAGGAATTCCTCATCCTGCTGGTGTTTTCACAGCTGTGTCTATATTTCTCTCAAAGAGTAAGAATCGGGGAAGCCTGTACTTTGTTACCTGCGTAGGCCAACTTCACTGTTTAACTACTGCACTAACCCCTTACCAGCTCATGCTAGTGGCGAATTTGGCTGAATGATTCTAATAAGGCTGCACAAAATGTGGCTTATGTTTTTAAAATACAAGTTTGCCATCTCCCTCTTCTGGAGACTCTGATGCACACACAGTCTCACTCAAATGATGCACATTCCTCAAAACTGCTTTTTAACCTGCTTACAGCAAGTTCTACCTTGTAAGAGCAATTAACAGCTTCATGGTTGAATATCCAGGAAAGACCATTTTATACTTAAAAATATAAATATATATATTCAACTTTTTTTTAGAGAAACAAGTTTCCATTTTCAGGAAGTTTTTAAAGAGACAGTGTCGCAACTTGTAGCTGCCTTGATTGCAAAACTTCCTCCTATTGTCAAGCCTGTATAGAGAATCATAGAAAAGCAAGACTGGAAGTTCTTTCTTGTATGCAACCTAAATCTTCCCTGCTGCAAGTTAAGGCATTGCTCCTTGTCCCGTCACCTGTGGCCACAGAGAATAAGTGGTCTCCATCCTCTTTATTAGCACCCTTCAGGTTTTTGAAAGTTGTTATCAAATAAGCCAAAAGTGAAAGAATGATAAAACATCTAAAAGCAGCGCTCTTCAGATTCATAAGGTAAAAGTCTTACAGTCAAATCACCAAACGGCTTGCTGGTTGCCCATTCTAATGATAAGTTTTCTGTAGAGGTTTTTATTCGTGTCATTCCTCTGACGTTTAAGGTTTTTAAACTTGGAATTCTCTATCAGGTTTGTTTTTGGTTTTTTGTTGGGGTTTTTTTATAGGAAAAAACATACTAGGCACATGTAGAGTTACAATAAGGAGAATAAAGCATCATTGCAGAGCACTTAATACTATTGCTGTACTGCCTGAGAGCTTATGCTCTTTCAGCATAAGACTGGAAGTGGTGAATTCAAGCCTGAGTGGGACATATGGAGCTGATATTTCTTGCTGATCGAATGTGTCCGGTCAGTTTATGTAACCGGCCACCTCCCAAAACATTTGGTACTTTGGTATATGTTGAGGGGGAGTGGGGAAGAGAGGGGAGGCCCCATTCCCTGCCAGCTTATGCATCTTCTGTTGCAGGACATAACATAATGATGAATCGCAGGGTGGCTGCTCACGTTTGGATCAGTACCGAATTGTCAGCTGTCACAGCTGGTTTAGTCAAGAGCAGCCACCGTTAGTCTCCTTGCAGGCTGCTCTTTGGGAAAGACCCATATGAAAAACGCTCCATGCAATCGTGCCAGCATTTAAATACGCTCTCGGTTCATGCTTCAGTGCTCAGCGGCTGGTGTGTTTTGCATGCACTGGGACATTTGTTCCTGGCAGCTGGTTGTACAGTGGTAGCAGACGTGTAGGCAGGCTGGTGATTAGGAGTTTAACTTCAGCAGTGGAAGACCTGGATATTTTGGAATTGGCCAGCAGAGGGGGATGACAGACTGCAAACAGGTTATCATGGCTTCCCCGGTGCCTGGATGATGCCTTTCCCTATGCTGTGCCTTCCTTGCAAAACCAAAAGAAGCAGAGGAGCTCAGGAGCTGCTTTGCTCGCATTGTCAGTCTCTAAAGGGACATGTAAAACCCACCGGTCAGTAGCAGCACTTGTGTTCACAGGCAGCGTATGGACGATCCAGAACCTGGCCCACCCCTCTGGTTTCCATGCTGAAAGAGCATAAGCTCCTGGGCAATACAGCAATAGCATTAAGGGCTTTGCTAATACCAGTGCCAGGGTCAAGGTGCAGCTGCCCACAGACATGCACCAAGGCAACACGTTTAATAGCCAGCTCGGGGGAGAAAGCGAGAGGCCTGGTAGAAGGGCTGGCATTGGAGAACGGCTTCCACAGCTACAGCAAAACCAGAACTTAAAGTTAATCCTGAAATGAATGTGCCTGCCAATGGATTTGGGACTATCTGAAGTCCCAGACTGAAAAGTTGGGGTGGAGGATACTTGCCGGTTGTAGCGCCACATATGGCATTTGAATGATTGAGGTTTGCTCAGTCAAAAGGATTCGGAACTGATTTGGCTAATGCAGCCTGGAATATGAAAAATTTTCCAAAAAAAAAAAAAGTGTGTGCCTAGCTGTGCTTTTGCTTTATGTACCAGACATTTGGGTCTTCCCGCAGTTCCCAATGTGCTAGTAAAGACTGGCAGCGTGCCCCGTACAATGTGAGGCCTAAGCCCTGCAAGCTCCTTACTGCAAATGAGCAGTCCTGCTGTGTGAATAACAATCCAGTAAGTCGGCCATGGCTCTTCAGCAAGAAATGCAACATCTCTCCCCACCAGTTTCTGGCCAGTCAGCACGTGCCCCTGCCCTGACTTCCTTTTTCCTTCTGACCCCTGAAATGAAGAGATGGCCAGACGGTCAGTGCCCTCAGCGCTGGGGAGAACTGCAGCCCTGCAGACAGCCTGGCATTTTACCCAGTCCGAGTGGCGAGTCACAGGATCCCCTCCGCGATCTTTTCAGTCGGTGCCAGCTTCTGTTAACCCACTTTTTCCATTGAAATTTCAGTGCCTGTCCATTACAGCAAGAGGAAGCTCCCTTGGCTCATTACCTAAAGGCAGCTCAGTCTTTTGGGCTCCATGATCTCTCAAGGCCCCTTCCAGCTCTACTTCGCTATGAATCTTGTTTTTTACAAGCCCCTTTCTGAGACTGTTCGTGCCTGGAATAGCACCTGTCTCCCTGCCCTGAAGCTGTGAGCGCTGGTGTCGGTGGCCTTGCGCTGTGTACAAAATTGTCCCCCAGTATTTAAAGAGGGGAAGCCAAATGGTCTGAAATCTAGGTTAGTTCCAAGATCCATCCAGCAAGATCCACACTTCACAAAATGCACCTCATTTCTCTGCATGTGCCTCTCTTCGGAGTAACTCTAGCTCCGTTTGATGCACAAGAACATGCAGAATGCCTCAGTTCACGAAAGGGCATTTGACCAGTTGCTGGACATCACAAAGATCGGGTGAGTCAAATGAGCATCTGGCTAGGTTCTGCAGAAAACAGTCGCTGTGATGCGTTCGGCAGGATTCCTTGCATGCTAGAAGGGTTATGTGAACCGAGTGCTGGACCAAACTTCGCTAAGAAATATCATGGCTTGGCTAGCTTTGACAGTCTTGCTGAAGGAAAAACTTCCTTGCAAGGATTTGTAAGGTCCCTGCCAGCTCCTAACAACTATGGCACAATGACTTAATATACTATGGACTTCGTTGACATCACAAGCTGCCTGTTTCTGGTTCCCGCGATGAATGGAAACTGCAGCATTCCAGACACAATGCAAGGTCGGACGTGGTGGACGTGGCCTGGTCAGGGTTGCCAGCCCTCCAAGATTATCCTGGAGTCTCCAGGAACTGGATACAAGTCTCCAGGAAACTGCTGAGAGTCACCTGGGAGATAAATGATAGGGCATTCATTAAAATAAATATTAAATGTTGAGTTCAATGTATACAGTAATTCAGTGGGTTTTTAAAATGTAATAGTAATGTGCATTTACCTTCCTGACATAAAGTCTATGCACTGTAATCCCTAACTGATACAGGCAAGCACGTAGGCACGTTGGTGTTGTGTCGTGGGCATGTAAGCATGGTGTGTCAAATGTAATAGTAACATGCGTTTGCCTTCCTGATGTAAAGTCTGTGCACTGTAATCCATAACTTATACATGAGCACATAGGCACATTGGCATTGTCTCTTGCGGGCACATTGGCATTGTGTGTTGCAGGCACGCTGGCATTGTCTCTTTAGTCTACTAACTACACTACAGCGCACCTGCCTTGCACTTTCAAACCCCCCCAAAAACCCAGAAACGGCTGATGGTGAGGGCCCTTCAAAACAAAACAGCTCTGAAGGTACTGTAAAAAAAAAAAAAAAATAGAGTTCAGTGAATGAAGTTTTGCTGTATCTGTCATTTTATAATGGTATTAGAATGTTATTTAATGTTCTGTATTTTTAAATGAATGCACACAGATCCACAACATTTAAATGCTCATTTATAAGCAAAGTATCCCGAACTGTATCTCACTTTTTAAAAATATGATTCACATTACTGAATTCTGCTTTTTAAAAATGAGCTACATTGCTGAACTTCGCTTTTTAAAAATGAGCCACATTGCTAACTCTCACTTAAAAAAAATATGACTCGTGTTACTGAATCTTGCTTTCTAAAAACTCAGCTGTATTCCTAAATCTCATTTTTTTAAAATGAGTCGCATTCCTGCATCTCGCTTTTTAAAGATACAATTCACATTACAAGTTGAGATTTTGCAATGTTGTTTATTTATGCAATGCTCTTAGAATACGAAATGGTTTTCATAAAATACTTATTATTCCCACCGAAGAGTAAAGGGTGGTATGGTGAAGGGTTTCCAAGATCAGTTGTTGTGGCAGGTGGAATACATTCAGTGTTGGCAACCCCGCGGGAGATTTCCAGGGCTCCGGATGTTGCTGACTCACGAGTTCCCGTAACAGGGCGCCTGGAAGGCATAAAAGTTTGGAGCCTGAGCTAGCAAATTGGTGGAGCTCTGCAAGGCACAGGGGTAGGAGCCCCCGGCCAAGGGAGCGACCAGAGATTGCTGGAGGTACAGCGGCACGACCTTCAGATCCCCAGTGAGGCTGGGGGACCTCACAATGATGTACCCCAGGTGCCAGATTATCCTGGCAAACAGGTAAGGGGAAGTTTTCCTGTGGAAAGGGGCAGAGGGCTGCTTTTCGTTGGTGTTGGTGGGCCTGGA